AGATGTGTGGATAGATAGATAGATAGATAGATGTGTGGATAGATAGATAGATAGATGTGTGGATAGATAGATAGATAGATGTGTGGATAGATAGATAGATAGATGTGTGGATAGATAGATAGATAGATAGATAGATAGATAGATAGATAGATAGATAGATAGATAGATAGATAGATAGATAGATAGATAGATGTGTGGATAGATAGATAGATAGATAGATAGATAGATAGATAGATAGATAGATAGATAGATAGATAGATAGATAGATAGATAGATAGATAGATAGATAGATAGATAGATAGATAGATAGATAGATAGATAGATAGATAGATAGATAGATAGATAGATAGATAGATAGATAGATAGATAGATAGATAGATGTGTGGATAGATAGATAGATAGATGTGTGGATAGATAGATAGATAGATGTGTGGATAGATAGATAGATAGATGTGTGGATAGATAGATAGATAGATGTGTGGATAGATAGATAGATAGATGTATGGATAGATAGATAGATAGATAGATGTTGATGGTGGCTCAGTTTAGTGAATTGGTTGAAGTTAGGCATACTTCCAGATCACTGATCTAGAGGTTGAAATTACTAAAATCTCTACAAAATCCCTTATTTTAATGATATGAATTTTTATAGATTAGTTCAATTAGAAGATGGAAACCCTATAGTACTTATTAGTTGCCTTATTCTAATTCAATACTCATAACCTGTCAGTATCTATCAATGAAGAACCATAAATAATCGATCTTGTTCCTTTGGATACACATTTTCCAACTTTTATCAATTATCTAATGAATAATATAAAAATATATCTCGTTTAGGTTGATGATGAAAACATTTCAGTTGAATACCTATTCAAATGGACAAAATATCATTTTGTAATGATTCCAATCTTCCCATTAATGTTAACGACTTAAACTGATCAGTCTCATTTTAGTATACGTGTATTTTGAATGGAATTTCTCGATATTGTCATTAAGCAGTAGGATTTTAAGTCAATTTGATAGTGGCTAACATTGGAATTCAAGGCGTTCATTTCATTCTATTCAGGATTTGTAATTTAGATGTACCTACATTTCAAAGTTGATGTTCACATCGAGACTTAATCAAGATGGCCTTCTATCCATCCAAAGAATGCGTTATCAATCTAACTACCGAATCCAGACAACCACTAAATTAAGTAACGAGAATGCATTGAATATTTAATGGCATGAATCTTCCCGTTGATATTAAGTGAGGGAATTAATAAGTATCATTTAGGTATATGTGCATTAAGTAGGTTTCATTAATGTTGCCAGTGGATATCACAACTATTTATAGGTCAATGAAAAATCTGTTAGAAGTTCGAGTCCTGACATGAGATTCAACACAGATATAATTACATCAAGCTGACGTGTCCTATATTAAACGAAACACGCTTCATGGATCCCATTGCTTGCCAGAATCCAAGTTTAATTACAAACAAAAGTATTATTCAAACATTTGTTGCCATTAATTCCTTAATGAAAGGCAGAATAACTAAAAATCCCACTATAATTTCTATAAACAATCAACTAATTATTTTTACATCATTCCGAAATCTCAGCACGAATACAGAAGGCTCAACTAGCTCTTGCCAACTTGCGTCATTGATGGTGTAGACGAGATATCCATCTATCAACCAAAGAAAGGGTTTAATGCACAGCAGTTCATTCTGTCCTGCTTCATGGAAGTGAATCATGGCCGGTAAGAGTAGAGGATATTCGTAGGTTACTAGTATTCGATCATAGATGTCTTCGAAACATTGCTCGTATATCCTGGGACCACTGAGTAAGTAATGCAGTTGTTAAGAAACGGGTACTACGTAAGGATGGCAAATCAATTGATGAAGTAGTGAAACTACATCAGTTGAGATGGGTGGGACATGTGTTACATATGCCCAAACACCGACTGCCTCGATGTGCGATGTTTTATGGTGTAGGACCAGGTTGGAAGAAATCTAGAGATGGCCAGACCAGAACACGGCACAAATCCATGAAGTCACTGACAAGTGGACTGAGCCATGTTGGTATGTGTAGACTACCTGGTTGCGAACCGCGAGATGATAGCAACCGATGGTTAGAGACCCTGAATGATATGGCTCAAAATCGTTTGCAATGGCGCAGTTGCATCCACTCTTTGTGTTCTCCCAAATTCTAATCTTCTGAATTCTTCATGTCCCTTTTATTTCTTCCCAAATATACTTCACTGGATTATACGCCATGAATAACATCTTCGAACCCTGATCTTTCCGGTTACTGCTTATATTCTTACTACCTCTACCGCTATGGGATTTGAATCGACAACTGCATCTCTATGTGCGAATGTGGTATGGCAACTCGAACTGATATACGTATGTAAGAAGTTCTATGTTGTTGACTGACTGACTGACTGACTGACATCGTTCTTATTGTAATAGTTAGAGTACTTTTTTTGTTGGTTGCTTATTCCTTTAAAGTTGTTAAATCGTACTTACTATTTATTTGAACTAATAGAAAAAATACAACACTGTATAGTTTGTAAATTCACAAACACATATGTGCAACTACACAGATTTTCATTATTATTTTATTTACTTAAACACTTAAATATTGGTACAAGGTGGCACCAAATAGATATGCGCCACATAAATCATTCGATTTTTTTTAAAGCTGGGATACAGTCTGGGTGTTCAAACTAAACCAGGTAGTTTTCTTAGGAGGTCACACTTGAAGCCTTTCACATAAAGGTCTAATCCACAAGGCAGTAGTGAAGCAACATAAGGAGATGCAGTTCCATGATTACTGCTGACCAACAATAAGTTCGTACAACATTTGTTTCCAACAGGATCCTAGAGCCTATGTGTATCATTAGTTTGGAATGAGGGTTTTCTAACTCCCCTAGATGAACTTTTCGTACCCACTAAGATCTTCATATAAAACTATAAAGGTATTTGAAACAATCCCTTACTATATATACTAAACTATCTACACTATATTGAATTAGTTAGTAATATCATATGAAAATATCTTTCCATATAATAAATGAAAAATCAATAACCTTTTAATATTCAAACTGTTGACATTGTTGAACTTTAAAAAAAAAACTTTACCGCCATCAGATAATTTACCATGGTAACACTTAAATTATTATTTTATATTAACCAATAGGAATGAAGTTAATATTAGTTACCTACACACAAATAAATAGATCCAATAATTCTGACCAATCAAATTGAAGTTCTTTAAGGTTCATTAGTATATATATATATATATACATGTTGTCAAATTTGTTTCGAATATAATAATGAACCATTTTATTGCATAATAATAGACTACTCTATACATTCTGTTTACTATTTTTTTAATCAGAAGGGGTTTGTGGAGATTTTTAGAAATTTTCACAGATTGAAATCATGAGTCAGTTGAAGCTAGACCACCATTGAAAACCTGGAGGCACTGGACGGCCGTTTCGTCTTAGTATGGGACTCCTCAGCAGTGCGCATCCACGATCCCGCACCACGTGGGGCTCGAACCCAGGACCTACTGGCTTCGCGCGCGAGCACTTAACCATTAGACCACTGAGCCGGCATCCAACGCTGTTAATGTCTAACTTCAACCGATCCACGAGGTTGCGCCACCATATACCATTGTATTCAGTGAGCTGATATCTCACAACAAACCTGGTTGAACTCCACTGGTAACGGCTTCCCACTAGAACTCCAGGAGTATTTCTTGAAGTCAGTCACTAGTGAGCAGATGATTATCATCAGAATACAATATTCTGTAAACTAAAGGTAACAGTAGTCACGTTTTGTGACACGGGATGGAATCCATCAGTCCCCAATAAGATTACAGGTACACCTTTCTGACAAGTGCCAAGTAGAACGAAACCTAAGTTTAGGGTTTCCTGTTGACTACCTTCAACCAACATCTTATCTCAACAAGTTTTGATTGTATGATG